GTCTGCCCCTGTGCTGTGTTGGGAGTGGTGGCTGGAATGGAGCAGGACAGGAGTTCCTGACCCCGTGGCTGCTGCCGGCCCAGTGGCTGCTGCCGTGCGAGTGCGGTGCTCTCCAGGGTGGGTGGTGTGAATGGAGCAAGAGTGTGTGTGCCGAGCTCTGGGTCAGGCCCACCTCGAGGGTTATTGCAGGAGGCACAGCAGCCAGGGAGCCAGAGGAAGAAAGCAGGACCGAGCCTGAGGGCCAGTGGAGATGCATTTCCACTGTTGGAAGTGGCAGTGAGCTGAGAGAATGAGTAGATTTGGGGGGTAAGCTTTTAAAATGGAGTATAATCGATGTACCGGCAAGTGCACGCATCCCGGTTGGAGAGCCCTGATGGGTCTTGGCTCTTTGATCGCTTTTCCAGTTCCACAGGCTCTACCAGAGCCCCAGCCCTTCCCAGTGGTTACGCAACTCCACAGGGAGCATTGCTCTGCTTTCTTCCGAGTTACGTTCATTGTGCCTCCTCGTGGAGCCATCCGCCAGATAGCTCGTTTTTCTCACTGTCATGCTTGTGAGAATGATCTGTGCTGTGCTTAACAGCGTAATATTCCATTGCTCTGTCCCAGGTATGAGCAGACTCATCTCCTCGGCGTGTCAGCATTTTGAAAAACCCTAACTTAACTCTGGTGCTGTGTCACAGATAGAAATTTTTTGATATTTGCAACCATAGTAAAACCAAGACTTATATTTTTGATATTTATTTTATATATTTAAATGCCATTTAACAAAGAAAAATCAACCAAAAAAATGAGTCCGCGTGTCACCTCTGACACGCGTGTCATAGGTTCACCATCACTGCTCTATAGTGTCCCGTTGCATGAATATCCCACAGTTTACTTAGTCGTTGTACGATTGATGGACAGTTAGATTGTTTCCAGTTGGGGCGGTTACTTAGAACTAATACTGTGGTGATCGTTCTTGTACACATACATCTCTGTTGGGGATGTACCTAGGATTGCAATGGTTGAGTCATGGTTAGGCACATGTTCATGCTTAAATCACATCAGAAGATGAGTTAAGGCCAGAAGTCGATGAACGCCACAAAAAAGACAGGTGTTCTTGCATCACAAGCTTCCGTTTCTAGATCTGTTGGAAAAAATGAGAAAGCTATTTAGGCATCAATTAGACACACTAAAGAAACCAACAGAGTTTTGGCCAAATTGAATAGTGAATTGCAGCAACAATGAAAGGATGATCTCTTTTAAAAATATGTTTTTATTGATTTCAGAGAGGAAGGGAGAGAGTCAGAAACATCAACGATGAGAGAGAACCACCGATTGGCAGCCTCCTACATGCCCCTGCTGGGGATCCAGCCTGCAACCCGGGCATGTGCTCTGTCAGGGAATCAAGTCAGTGACCTCTTGTTGCATGGGTTTGAGACGCTCAACCACTGAGCCACACTGGCCAGGCACCACCGTGATTTTTTTCTTTTGTGATTTATTTTTTTTTAAATTATTTTTTTAAATGTATTTCTTTATTGATTTCAGAGAGGAAGGGAGGAGAGAGATAGAAAC